GTAAATGAACATACTTTCCAGAAGGCCAACAATTCGCTAAAAATGATTTTTTTATTGGTCTTAATTTGTTGAGATAGTGAATTGGTTGGTTTTTGTTAAATGTGAGCCAAAATCATCACAATTAAAAGAACCAAAGACTTAAACTACTTCAGTCTGTGCATTGAATTTATTTAATACACAAGTTTCACAATTTGAGTTGAATTACTGAAATAAATGAACTTTTCCACGACATTCTAATTTATTGAGATGCACCTGTAGTTTGTGAAACTTATATTTGAGGTGTTATACAGAAGTGTTTGAAATTGTTAACCTTTTGGAAGGTTTACCAAAGTGGAGAATAAATTCCAGGGAACTTGTTTTATTATTTTTCTTTTTAATTTTATTATCTTATTCTATTGAAACAAATCAAAAAGACGGAAATCCATTTTCCTAAGGAAAGGAAAAATAAATTAGTAATTGTTAAAAGCAATACAGTTGAAAGCTTTTTTTACTTACCTTGGAGTAGGGGCGTCTCACTTGCACTATTAGGTTTAGGTGGGTGGGAATGTGAATTTGAGTTGTCACTTTACATCACATGCTTATACTTCAGGAAGCCACCGTATTGAAACCTACTGACCTGAAGCCTACACTACCTATTCCTGTAGTATATTATACAATAGTGTAAGATAAAACATACACACATTGTGCACACTGAGACTCAAAGCGCCAGAGTGGGGACCAAGATCCTTTCATTCTCAAGTCTTCCAGGGTAACTTTCATTTCCCCTATGGAACGAGACTTACAGTTTCGTTACACATATATCTGAGTTTCTCTCACCTGTGACTGTCACTGTGATCAAGATTTCTCCTTCTGAATCCAGAACTCTGTATGCTCCTGCATCACTTGATGCAAAGGATTTAAAGATCAGATTTTCATCATTTTCATTCAGTCGATCGCTCTGAACCCCATCAGTTCTGCTCCGAACCTCCTTCCACTCTCCACTAGAGCTTGTCTCCACTTTATCAGCATTAGACAACAGAACATGCATCTTTAGCTCCTCGCCTGTTTTCACAGAAATCTCATCTGAGGAGAAACAGAAAGACATTAATCATTATTATAATGCTGTCGATCAATCAAGGCCATAAATGTATATTTAGTATCGGGGAACCAAATGTAATCATTTAAAAAAGCAGATACTGATGGTTTTATCAGTTTATACAGTTCATACCATGAATATGAACTTGGTACGTCCTGATTTGTGGCTCCAGCTCTGACTGATCATTATTGTAATAGATTCTCAAAATATATTTCCCAGCATCATTGAAGCTCAGATTCTTGATGACGACGTCACAGTTTCCTTCTTTAAACACTCGTCCACTACATTCTTCATCCTGACACACATCTATCTCTTCTGACTCACTGAATAACTCAATGTGAACAATCTCATCGGCCTCAGATTCACATGTTAGTGTGACGTTTCCTCCCTTTTTTCCTGACACAGATATAGATGTGTTTCCTGCAAATACAGACAATAGAATTCAATAAGAATCAATTTAAAGTGTCAATACTGAAAAATGCATGCATTTCTGTCTATTCTCAGTAATTAATGTTATTATAAAATATTCTTAATTTAATAATTTAGTCAACTATTTTCTTTTGCTGAAGATATTTCTTCACGCATCTAAGTGGATTCATCAGCTGTGAACTGATGGAGGAGTTTCTCTAATATTTAGCATCAGAAATGAATGTAAATATTAAGGATGCTCATTGCTCATCAGAGACATGATCTATTTTGCCTTTGTGCTCTTCATCTAAACACTTAACCTCAGGTTACTTCATTGTGTCTTCATGAGATAAAAGCATTAAATGCTCAATCTCAAGCACTAATGACTAATGAGATCTGGTTGATGAATTAATAGAAAGCAGCAGGTTCAGTCAGAAGTCTAAATGCAGCGACCAGAGGTTTACCTTATAAACTACTTAGTTTGAACTCTTGCCTGTTTTTACCAAAAAAGGACAGCAATGGTTTATAATAAGGAACACAGCACTTTGCAGCAAAGATATTTCTTAAAAAATTTATTAAAAATATAAGGGCAATAAGAGAGAGCAATATTAGCAGTGGCACATTTTAACATTTCAAATGTTGTTGAAAATAATATAAAGCTGTAGCAGATGTACGAGTGCAGTTGTAATGAATTCCTGAACAGTGTTTATTAATAAATGAACTGAATGATAAATCTGAACATTTCCACCATAAATCCAGAAATGTTAACAAAAGTCTTCACTGAGTTTTCTCTCGAAGGTACTGGAGAAGGATGTTTTTCGTCAACTTTCTTCCTTTCTAAATAATGATATATTAGACAGGTTTCAGTCTGGATTCAGAGCTCAGTACAGCACAGAATCTGCTCTTTTAAAAGTGTTAAATGATCTGTTACTGGCTGTTGACTTCTCTTGGACTTAAGTGCAGCCTTCGACACTATCGATCACTCTATTTTGCTAAAACGTCTTGAGCAGTATGTAGGCATCAGGGGAATAGCTTTAAACTGGTTTGCGTCCTATCTTGCAGGGAGAACAATTTCTGTAGAAACTGATAACATCACTTCCTCTTCTGCTGCATGTAAATGGGGTATCCCACAGGTAGGCATGGGACGATAACCGGTTTCAAGGTATACCGCGGTTTGGAAAAGTCACGGTTTCAAACCCACTAAAATTTTCCGTTATACCGTTCCTGCGGTATGCACAGTTTTTCTTTACGTGTCGTCAAAGATGGAAAGTGCAGGACTCCCTCAGTTGTATGCAGCGAAGAGCGTAGCGAGTCATAACAACCCCTCCCTCTCCGGTTGGTGCGAGCGGAGTCACCTGTGTGTGGGATGGCCGAAGGAGATGAATCCCTGGAACCTGGAACTTTTCCCCCTTTTGAACAAGACGAAGTCTGTCGTATGGGAATTTTTCAGGTAACGTAGACTAACCATGTTCCGTATACAATGATGTTCCGTACAGATGATGTTTTAGCGCCGATCGCTAAATAAATACTTCCAAGTCGAACATAAACTATGTATCTGTGTCATCTTCGGTTTTCTCCCTCTTTCACCCCCGATCAAGACAGAGACCCACCCGCCGTTTGTTTCAGTGTTGAAATAAATACTATTTGGCTTGCTACCAAGGATGTGACGATAACCGGGTTCAAGGTATACCGCGGTTTGGAAAAGTCACGGTTTCAAACCCACTAAAATTTTCCGTTATACCGTTCCTGCGGTATGCACAGTTTTTCTTTACGTGTCGTCAAAGATGGAAAGTGCAGGACTCCCTCAGTTGTATGCAGCGAAGAGCGTAGCGAGTCATAACAACCCCTCCCTCTCCGGTTGGTGCGAGCGGAGTCACCTGTGTGTGGGATGGCCGAAGGAGATGAATCCCTGGAACCTGGAACTTTTCCCCCTTTTGAACAAGACGAAGTCTGTCGTATGGGAATTTTTCAGGTACTAACCATGTACCATGTTCCGTACACAATGATGTTCCGTACAGATGACGTTTTAGTGCCGATCGCTAAATAAATGCTTCCAGGTCGTACATAAACTATATACCTGAGTCATCT